TTCTCAAGTTATTTGAGAAGAGAGGTTAGCTATTTTTATGAATTTATTAAATTCACATTATCGTGAAAGTGGAGACCTCAGGAGAAAATAAGGCAAATTCGTGCGTGTTAGACAGTCATAGAGCGCAGCAGTTTCTTGGCTTTCCTTTAATGTTTGAGATCCAAAAGATCATGATGACTTGCCCCTCTCAGCTAAATTTGTTGAGAGGGCCAGTGGTTCAATACATTCACAGGTTCTGTAGGAAAATAGAACAATGTGTTTATTACTAGATAGAGTGTGGGTGTGAATGTTGGAACTTGAAAATGAGCCAGAAGACCAGTCAGCAACTACTGACTGCCTTTGTGAGGTCAGCAATACTGAGGTCTGGAATGTGGATGTCCAAGGGCATGGAGATATAAATAACTGTATCCTGATTGGCTGCCCACAAGCACATGGATTCCAGATGTTTCTGACAGAAAAAAGTGAACTTTGAGGTTCCATCTAGGCTGTCTTTGTTTCATGAAATCTTAACTCTCAGTCTTATTAGCCTTACCTATTACCTGCCCCTCAGCAAGTCACACATGTCAGCATAAGCTTATACATGTATTAATTTTCTTGTGTTTATTTGTGTTTGGGTTTTTGTTGTTGAGCTTTTGATTGAGTTTTTTGGCTTTTTTTTTTTTAATGAAACCAGACTAGTAATCCTTGGTGCATGAGGTGAGTTGAAAATCTATGTATTATTTAACAATCTACCATTATGGTATGACACTAACCAACATGACTCTTATTTCTTGACATATAAAGAATGACTGCCTATTCCAAAGTGGGGAATTGTGGGGAATGGATGTTCAGGGTTCTGCCTACATATGTCTATTGGTTGGCATTATAGGGATACTTTTTGGGATCATCTTAGCTTTTCCTATCATGAATTTTGTGAAGTAAATTTACATGTAAAACAATTTTGGATGATTTGAATTTTGCAGACTTTCTATGTGTGTGTGTCTAAATATGAATGAAACAGTTTACATTAAAGATTATGAGTGTCATTGGGTAAGGACTTTCTGATTTGTAACATTAACATGCTTTTACAAACTGCTTCATTCATACATTCATTTATTGATTGTTTTTGTACCTTTCTGTTCACCTTGTACTCATCTCTTTTATTAAATTTCACTTTTTTTTGAGTTTTGTGGTGTCTTTTTTTTTGGCAATAACTTCTCCAACCTAACAGCATTACTAGATGTGCTTATTTGCTAAAAACAAAACAAAACCCAAGAGCAGTGGCATTTATGTTGAGTTAGACAATAGTGTGCTCGCCTGGCCGTGTGAAAACTGCAAGAGTTAGATACTCGAGGGCAAAAAGGGATGGTGGCTTCCTGCTGCGCGTCTTTGTGTCACTTGGCTGTTTCCCTGATTGGTGAAGGAAGGAAATAGGGAATGGAGAAGAAGAGTGTATCAACCAATCCACAAGTATTTATTGGTCATTTCTTATGTCCTCAGTCCTGTACTAAGCCCAATGGTCCAGACCAAAGGATAAAATACAGACCCTGCCCTCCAAGAATATAAATATATTATAAAGTAAAGAACAATCAAAACACGAGTAAGTGTTTAAAAAGAATAGATTCATACAGAAGGGGGAGACCAGTCTCTTTCATGGAGTAGTCAGGGATGATTTCATAGAGGAAGTAGGACTTCAGAGGCTGGTAGGAATGGACATAAAATAGTTAGTGAACTATATAACTTTACTCATTAGTCTGTGTGGTGGCTTGTGATCAGACTGTTTGGGAAGGGCCCGTGATACTGCTTCCTGCATTTGATCATGCTACCTATTAAATTTTAAAAACATCTGGGAAATGTTTACTATATGTAAGGTACTTAGATGCTGTCATATTTTTCCATCTAGAAATAAGGTCTCCCAGAAAATGTTTTCCCAGCACAGTTATAAGACTTCCATGTCCTTTTTGTTTTATTCTCATGGCAGGTTCATTCACAACCTGAGTATTAATTTTGCATAATTCTTCCTGGAACTCCTGCCTTTGGGTTTTATTGTGTATATACTGAATTCAGGGAAGAGTCAATTGCAAGATTCATTAAAGGTTAGACAGCAGAAGCTGGGAATAAATACTCTGTCATGTCATGGCAGAAAGATGTGCAGTAGAGGAATTTTAAACAGACCAAAAGTCCTAGGTTTCCTGATCCATGTAGGCTCAGAACATCTGGTTCTGAGCATGAATCCTAAGGCTTAGTTTCAGTGAGAATTTATGAAGCTGGCAAATCAACTTGGATTATACTGTTTGATGGTGGTAACCAATTCCATATAATGCAAACTCCAATGGAGGTTCCCCTTCTCAGCCCGATGGTTTGTCTTGGCCAGTTTGGGTATTCCCAAGTATGACTGTTATTTACATACTGGACACTTTGCCATCAGACCTGTTGGCTTTGATGCCTCAGCAAGAAGCAAAAATAGCTAGGAACTTAACAAAAGGGTATAGCTATAAATAAATGGCCTGACACCCTCCCCCCCGCCGTGTATACTCCTGTGGTCAAACCATCCTAGGAGGGTATCAAGAATTCCAGAAAATGAGGCCATTCAAGAGAATGGAAGACAGATTGTCAGGGCAAAAGGCAAAACATTTAATATTTTCCACTCTTTTCTTTTGTGGAAACACTGTTTGAGGGCATCAAAAGGGCAGGAAAAGTCACTCCCAAGGCACTGACTTTTGAGCCCATTGCATTAAAATATAGGCAATTCATCCAAAGCACCATTTAGCTGAAAAGCCAAGCCATGGAGCTTTCTAACTAGGAAGACATTTTGACTGAGCCTTTTCATGCTTCCTGAGCAGATGTATTGGGATGTTGGCCTTAAATCAAGAGGGCTAGAGATATACAGGCCTAGACTACAATATCACTTTCATTGCCTAGATAGTTATGGAAGAGTGATTTGTTCAACTGTACAGTAATGTTCTGTGTGAGACTGAAATGGGCAGGGGGGTGGGTGGGTAGGGAATAGGCTCTGATCCCAAACAGTAATACTGAAGTCACAAATGGTTTTTATCTCTACAGAGTCTCTAATGGAGATAGTTGGAGACCAAAGCATGGTTGATAAGTAATGACTTAAGATAATCAAATTTTAAAAGAGGAGATGAAAGAGTTGCTAGTTTTCTCTGCCAAGTTGTGAAATATCTAGATGGATGGATGGATAGATAGATAGATAGATAGATAGATGGATGGATAGATAGATAGTCTATCTGTTTACCTCACAGCCACGCAAGAAAAATATAAATAAATATAAATTTATTTATACTTGTATATATTTATGTAAATATACCTAAATATATACCATATGTACATATATATGTGTATGCATTTATATATGCCTTAAACTGCTTAATAATGAATCATTTCAGATAACATTTCATCACATTTAAAGTTCACATAAAGTGACTGTTTCAGAGAAACAACACTGGACTGGCCATCAGGAGACATGGGTTTTTATTCTGTCCCTCTTACTAACTGCCCCTAAACTGGCCAGTCACTTCCTCTCTCTAGGCTTCAGTTTCCTCATCTATAAAAAAGTGTTAAACCATAAACCAGATAATTTCTAAAGGTGAAGTCTAGCTCTAACATTCCAGGACTCATTCACTAAGTATATGTGTTGGGATAGAAGTTGTTTTCCTAAAAACAATGAAGTAAAACTAAAGAAAAGCACCATACAACCAGACCAACTCAAAAAATTGTGATGCATTTACATTTGACTATACAAAACTATGAAACTCCTAGGTGGCAAAGAGGAAAAAGAGAGAGGGTATTTGGCCAACCCTAAGGGAACAATGAATGACAACTCCCTACATGCCATCTCCTTGGTACAATTAAATTATGGCCTCTTCCAGGTACTCCTATGGCTCCTGGTTCAGATATTCAAAAGTTGACATGTGCAAAAGGACAATTCATAGCCAATAACTTTACTAGCCTCTGAACATCTGGTTGAAATTCATTCACTACCTATACAAAGACAAAAACATCACTGGCTAGAGAAAACAAGTGAATAATGATGTTTCAGTATGGAAGGCTTAGAAAGGCAACTGGCTTTTGGGGAAAAAAGAAAAAAAGAGAAAAAACAGTGGCTTATTTGGCCTCCTTATAAATGACTAACCCTGATAATGGCCATTTCACTAGCTGTGATTTTCTAGTTTGTTTCAAGGCAAAAGCTTTCTTATGACTTCTCCATCTTACATTACGTAGATGCTCCAACAGAAAAAATTCAGAGCTGCATCAAAACTGGAAGTTAACTGATTTAGTTTGTTCCCCAGAAGTATGAATTGTGCCCTTCATGGGAATGATAAAAGAAGGTACTTGTAAAATAGGGGTAGAAAGTCTAACTGGAAAGTTAAATATATGTGGTAATAGGCAGAAAGCTGTATCTGTACATGTCTGATTTTAGGACAGCTTCTTCATCTTTAATAAAAAAAAAAAGCAATTAATCTTCCATTTTAAGCATATTCATCTCTAAAATCAGTAAAATGGCCATCACCCTAATATGCATATTTCATCTTAACACATTCATCATAAGGGAATCTAAAAGTGTCAGACTTGCTTTCTCCTCCCTGTCATATCCCTAGGGGTAGGGAAATGAATTTAGGAATTACATTGCAATCCTAACCCCATGTCAGACAGTGCCTTACTCTGAATGAGGCAGGTCTTTCAACCACAACTTTCTTTCATCTGAGGTGAACTTTTGATGGTCAAGAGAGAAACAAACACCCAGCACATGGTATAATAGCAGAGGGACTATTTTAATCCTGTAGTCTGACCTCCTAGCCCCTTGGAGGAGGAGCAGTCTACATCATGGAGAAAAAACTTAGGCTGAATCTTCTTGATGCACCAGCACCTTTGTGGTATGAGCACTTTCAAGAACACAAAGGAGGCTTGCATGTCATTGGGGGGTGTTGGCAATAGAGCAACTGTCGGAGAAGCTGGTCTAGGGTGATTTTGATTCCTACCTGTGCTTTCTACCTTTCCAGCTCTAAGGGGATGATCACAAAGTCCAACGTGGAGCCCTTAAAGTACAGTAGCTGGTGGCAAGCCATACAGTGCTGCTGCAACTGCCTGGTCAAGAATCCGACGGGGCAGGAACGATTCCTCTGAGGCAGCTCATTTAGTAGACGGGGACAGTTGGATAGCACCATAACCTGGAACTGGAGTGAAGAGATTTTTTTTTCTAAAAAAAAGTAAAGGAAAAAAAATTAGAACATCAGCATACTCTTTACTTTAAATATCATCATCCCAAAGTACAAACTAGGACGTAAAGATTCACATCAGGGAAATTCAGGTGTTGTCCAGCCCCCATCACAAAGGCAACAATACTGTGGTGTCCATCCCAGTGGAGTACAAATCATTCAAATACAGTTAAAGAATCTCTGCTTTCTAACAGGCTTATAACCTCACAATCCTGAAATGCCGAGATTGCTGAATAGTAACAGGAGCAGCCAAGCTAAAAGAAAAGTTATGTATGTCATTTTCACATGGCAAGAAATTTCTTGGCTTGGTTGTGAACCTTTCCTTCAAAAGAATTGCTCCTGGTGACTTATCATTCATCATCATGTCATGGACTTTTTCTGTTCTATTCATGTTGCATAATTTTGCCTTACTAACAAATCATTTCCCTAAGGAAGACTATCATTCCCCTTTAAAAAAAAAACACACAAAACCACTACCTTTTTATTTGAAGTGCCAGATCAATATGGTCTAAAGCCTGAATAAAGGTTAAACATATGGGTGAGTAAAAAGACAGCTGAGAGAATGTGTGTGTAAATTATAGCAATCTGATAGCTTTTTATGTACAGTATTATTAGAATGGAAAAGTAGAAATATTTTTGCAGTGTGTATTTTAAAAAATATGAGAAAAATTGATCATTATAGTGCCGTCTAAAATATTTGTAAAGTTAATTTAATCATCTTTTAAAAGTGGGATTCTGGTTGAATAATATTTTGAATATTAGTATATGTTGCATTCTTCATAAGACATGCAGATAGTTTAATTCATGTGCAGACAAACTCTTTGTGTTAATCTGTGCTTTGTAGTCTTACTTGGTAAATAGTTGCTTAAACCCAAACAAACCAACCTAGAACTACCCAAATTCCCTTGCTTATAGGGAATAAGAAGTCCACCGGTGTTGCTGTAAAAAAGATCCTAGGGAAGACTGCCTAGGATAACTTTCTGCATTCTCAGCAGCTCTGTTAGGAGTACAGTGATGATACATAACAAATATCATCATAGGTGGTATTACCTGTAAAGAGATGGAAATAAAAAAGATAAGATTCCTACCAGGGGATGCGGTGGTTTGCTTTTTTTTTTTTTCATTTTAAACGCATGTGCAAAGGGAGTCTAGTTCTCTGAATATATCTAGCCTTGTTCTCTTCTCTCCCTTGCCCCTGCCTAGTCATTGTTAAACTTTCTTAAAAATAAAAACTAAAACTGGTCTTGGTTAATGGGCGGGTCTACCCTTTGACAGACATGCAATCCCCCAACTGCACACAGCAGCTGGTTTCCTCTGAACCAAACCAGAGTTCTGAATAGTAGGATGGTTGCTCATGGCAAGACACCAGCCCCACCTTTTTTTTTTTCAGCAAATAAGGGTTTTCAAAATTTGGCTGTACCATCTCCTTTAAAGTTATAGGATACCTCCCATAGGTGTTAAATTATCTTGACTTTGCCATGATCGTCTTCATGGTTTTGTAGGGTCACAGATTTAGAGCTGAAGGGGATCGGAGGTGATCTAGTCCAATCCCTTCATTTTACAGGTGAGGAAACAAGGCACACAGACGTTAAGTGGGATGTCCAAAGTCAAGAGAATAGTAAGTATGAGAGTCAAGATCTAAATCTAGGCCCTTTAACTCCAAATCCTGTGATCTTCCACAATACCACATGTTTAAAAACTCTTTTAGAGCTCTTAGGCAGTGTTACATAGTGGATGGAGTACCAGGCTTGGGGTCAGGGAGACCTGGGTTCAAATCCTACCTAGGCTCAGTCTGAACTCTGCCCCCTCACACCCATAACCGACAAACAGCAACAGATACTCATCCTACCGAGCCATATAAGAGGAAGGGAGATTTGGGATGGTGTTTGAGGGGGAGGTGGACTGAAGCATGTGTGGAGATGGGGGCAATGCAGGGAGCAAAGTAGAGACAGCTAAAAGGCAAAATAGCACTGGTTCCTGAGAGAAAGGGGACCCTGGGTTTTCAATTACCCCCCACCCCCAGATTTTCCTCAGGGCAGAGACTTTGGTAGGCCAACATCTGCACCGTTAACATGAGGAGGCTAAAGACAACTACTATGCCTCAAATCCCTGTGTTTTCTGGGACCAAAAAGACTTCTCCCACCCCTATTCTGAAGCCTCTAGTAGAATAACCAGGGCGAGAACCCTAGAACAAAGGGGAGCCTGAAGTTCTGTCACTCTGAATGTGCAGAGCTTCCTAGCTAACTGACAGTGGCTGAGTCTAGCAGCAGTCAACTGGAACTTCAGCCAGGGGTAAAAAACCATATGTGCTTGTTGATCTTTCTGGAAATGATGCCCCATTCTCTGCTCTTCTCCTTCCTGGTACAGAGACAGTTCAGTCTGGCAGCTAAAATTACCAACTTCCTTCTCCCCCAAAAGGACTTGAAGTAGGTTCTCCATATTTTTTCTTATTTTATTTATATTTGTTTCTAATATTAAAAGTGCCAAGGATACTTGCTTTCAGATGCCAAAATAATTTATTAAGTGATAAAAAATTATGGTAATGCAATAATGCGTACCAGCTGTTTTGAAATTTCATAGCAAAAAGGACCAACCAAGATGGCAGAGTAACAAGATAGTATAGCTGAGTTCTCCCACACAACTATTCCACAAAGATATTAAAAACATGCCAGACAGAGACCTGACTGAGGGGGAAAAAAATCAAAATGAGTAATTTTACTAGCTCAGTTCAATACAGAGACACAAAGAGGTCTAAAGATACTGATGTAGCATCTTGCTAGGAGCAATCCCCACAAAGCTTTCCACCACGTGGACTGGATGAGGGAACCTCCTGTGGTTGTTCACCAGGACAAGGAAAGGTCCTATAGCCACACACAGGAAACAACTGACCACTGGCAGCTCGGTCACTGCCCAGGGCTGTGTCATAGATCCAGTGCAGGACCGAGGAGAGGACCTATGCCTAGGGAAGGGTTAGGGGCAAGGAGTGGTCTCTGGTCCTAGACCATATGCTAAGCAAAGAATAAACACAGAAGAGAACACCGGCTGTGTGGCCCAAACCCCAAGAGTCAGATATGAATTCTAGGTCCTGGCCTGTAGTAGAATAACCAAGGAACCTCAGAACAAAGGGGAACCTGAAGTTCTGTCACTCTGACCTGCAAAGCTTTCTAGCTGGCTGATAGTGACTGAGTCTAGCAGCAGTCCACTAGAACTTCAACCAGAGGTAATCCCACAGTTTTTTTGCTCAGAATCAAACCCAGGTCAGGAATTTGCAGAGCTCAGACCAGGAGAGCAGCACTCAGCCTTTGCCCTGCATCAGACCAATTTTAGAGCACTTAAAACTTGCAGGTCCCCAGCCTGAGCTGTCTCTAAGATCTATCTCTAGAAAGCAGTAGCAGGACCCCCCCCAAACACACACACACACACACACACACACACACACACACACACACACACACACACACAAGTGTGGCCTGGACATTCCCTCTAGAAATATGCATTGACTCTTAAAAAAAATACTAAGTTCAGAAATAGTGTGGAAGAATGAGCAAATAAAAAAAGAATCCTATCATAAAGAGCTATGATAGTGACATTGACACTCAACCTACAACCTCACCCCCCCAAAAAAAAGAGAATGACTCCAAAACACAAATAAGCAAAAGCCTCAAAGGAGAGCACAGTTTGGACACTAGTTCAATTAGAATTCTTGGAAGAGATGAAGCAAGAGCTTACCAAAAAAAGATTTATAAATGAAATGAGAGCTCTGGAGTAAAAAATTGGAAAAGAAATGAGCCCTATAAAAGAAAGGATTGTTAAGAGAATTGGCAAAAGAAGTATAAAACTTTACCCAAGCAAGAAACTGCCTGAAAACTGGGTGACCAAATAGAAGTTAATGACTCCACAAGACAGCAAAAATATTAAAACAAGATCAAAAGACTAAAAGACTAAAAAAATAAAACAAAATGTATGGTAGTGTAAGGAAAAACAACTGCTCTGGAAACCATTGAGGAGAGAGAATTTAAGAGAAACTGTACTGCTTAATACTTAAACCTATGACCGAAAAAAGAACCAAGATATATTTAAAGATAGCTGCCTAGATTTCTTACAACCTGAGGACAAAGTGAAAATAAAAAGAAAACATTTACTTCCTTAAAGAAAACGCTAAATAAAACTCTGTGTAACATTAGAGCCAAAATCTAAAACTTCCAAGTCAAGGGGAAAAAAAAAAGACTGCAAGCAACCAGAAAAAAAGAATTCAAATGCTGAGGAGCCACAGTAAGGACCACACAAGATTTAGCAGCTGCTGCTACTACTATAAAGGAGCAAAGAGCTTAGACTATGATTTCCCAAAAGGTAAAAAATATAGTCTTACACAACCAGGAATAATGTATCCAGCAAAGCTCAGTATAATATTAAAAGAGGGTGGGGAAGTGGAGAGAAGAGGTGTATGCAGTAGAAATGGATCTTTAATGAAGTAGAGGAATGTCAGCCCGGGGTAATCCCACATTATGTTGCTGTTTTGATGAAAAGACAAGAGCTATGTAGAAATTTTGAAATAATGAAAACACAGGAGTTGAGGAAAATATAAAAAGGTAGACAAACAAGCAAGCTATCATTACAGACTAAATAAGGATAAACTGTTTACATTCTAATATGGAGAAATAATACATGTCTCCTAAATTCTCTCTCCTCAGTGTTTTCCAGAGCAGTTGTTTTTCCTTATACTACCTTACATTTTGTTTTATTTTTTCAGTCTTTTAGTCTTTTGACCTTGTACATGTCAGAACCCTATCATCAGGCATTATAGAGGAAGCTGAATGACAGAAGGCCTGGGAGTGGTTTTGTTATGTTTGGATAATCTTGAAGAAAGGGAGGGGAAGAGGAATACAGGTAGGGGAGGATAGGAACTGGAAGGGTGGGGAAATAATCTTATAATCAGGATGTGCAGGTAGAAGATCATGTAAACAAGGAACAAGGGGGAGCAATTGCCATTTCAGTCTCATTTTCATCTGTACTGGCAAAAGGAGGAACAAACACATAAACACACAGTTGGGTTCAGAAATATGTTTCCTTTAGCAGGAAAACAGGAGGAAAAAGAGAGAAGGAAGAGAAGGTAGAATAAGAGGAAGGGTAGATGAAGCAAATTAAAAATTAATTAAGCAAAACAAACTAAGGAGGGTGGATCACAAAGAGGAGTTGAAAAGAAAGGATAAGAATTTGTTATTGGGCTCTAGGTGAACAAGAAAGAGAGGTAGGGGAGTAGGAAGCAGATTGCATCAAACCTAGAGCACTGGTGTTGAGCATTGTCTTTCACCACCCTTTTATTTATGAAGTGGGGATAAAAAAACAAGAATAAAAGAATAACATTGATATGTTATTGATGTGATATGCTAATATACAATTGATATGATATGCTAATAACATAACTAAATGTGAATGGAATGAAATCACCAATAAAATGGAAGAGAATAGTAGCATGGATTAGAAAGCAGACTCCAACAACATGTTTATAAGAAATGCATTTGAAACAAAAAAATGAGCATAGTTAAAATAATTGGCTAGAGAAAAATCTATTATGCTGCAGCTGAAGTAAAAAAAAAATAAAAGCAAGGGTAGCAATCATGCAAAGCAACCAGAAAAAATAGCCTTAAAAGATAATTAGGGAAATTACATTTTTCTGAAAGGTACCATAGACAATGAATATCAATATTAAATTTATATGAACTAAATGGCATAGCATCTGAAAACTTAAAGGAAAAGCTAAATGAGTTACAGGGAGAAATAGTAAAACTTATAGTGGAAGGCCTCAATTTACCCTCCTCAGACCAAGATAAATTTTTTTAAAGGCATTATGCTTACTTGGAATTTGAATTCTAGTCCTTGCCTCTTTTTTTTTTAGTTCAATTTTATTTTCAGTTTCAAATTCTCTAACTCCCTTCTTTCCCTCCTCTGAGAAGACAAGAAAAACAAAACCCATTACAGATATGTATAGTCAAATACCTTCCCAGTTTTGCTTAAAAAAAAAAAAAAGAAAGAAAATATGCTTTAATTTGGACTCTGAGACCATCTGCTCTGAAGGTGCATAGCATG